CACCCAGGGCCACCCGTGTCCAACCTTGTCCTCACGGGGCCACCCATGGCCACCGGGACCAGCCGCGACCACCGGAGCTCGTGCGTGTCCACGCGGGACCACCCGTGACCACCCCTGTCCTCCTGAGACCACCTGTGACCAACCTTGTCCTCCTGGGGCCACCTGTGTCTTCTGTGACCACCTAGGACCACCCGTGACCACCCATGTCCAGTCTTGTCCTCCTGGGGCCACCTGTGTCCTCTGTGACCACCTAGGACCACCCGTGACCACCCCTGTCCTCCTGAGACCACCCGTGTCCTCTGTGACCACCTAGGACCACCTGAGACCACCCATGTCCAGTCTTGTCCTCCTGGGGCCACCTGTGTCCTCTGTGACCACCCGTGTCTTCCTGAGACCACCCGTGACCACCTGTGTCCTCCTGAGACCATCCGTGTCCAACCTTGTCCTCCTGGGGCCACCCATGTCCTCTGTGACCACCTAGGACCACCCGTGACAACCTCTGTCCACCTGAGACCACCCATGTCCAACCTTGTCCTGCTAGGGCCACCTGTGTCTTCTGTGACCATCTAGGACCACCCGTGACCAACCTTGTCCTCCTGAGACCACCCGTGTCCTCTGTGACCACCTAGGACCACCTGAGACCACTCATGTCCAGTCTTGTCCTCTTGGGGCCACCTGTGTCCTCTGTGACCACCCGTGTCTTCCTGAGACCACCCGTGACCACCTGTGTCCTCCTGAGACCATCCGTGTCCAACCTTGTCCTCCTGGGGCCACCCATGTCTTCTGTGACCACCTAGGACCACCCGTGACCACCCCTGTCCTCCTGAGACCACCCGTGTCCAACCTCGTTCTCCTGAGACCACCTGTGACCACCCCTGTCCTCCTGGGGCCACCTGTGTCTTCTGTGACCGCCTAGGACCACCGGTGACAACCTCTGTCCACCTGAGACCACCCATGTCCAACCTTGTCCTGCTAGGGCCACCTGTGTCTTCTGTGACCATCTAGGAC